AGTTAATATCTTTATTTACACATTTTTTCTCTAAACTCAGAAACTTATTAATGGAAATTTTCACACACAAACTCTTGGTATCATGAGTTAAATCTTTTGATAAGTGGTATGAAGAATATGATGAAACATCAATTTTAAGAGGACAAGGTACTTTGAGTTGAGATTAAGTGAGTGAATAAAAATTCCTAAATATTTGAGATTTTATATTTAATATATCTTTAATTCCTCTTTTTTTTTTTTTGCATGTATACCATATAGTTACAATTTTATATTGGGATTTTGTAAGTAGATCCACTGAAAACCCTCGTCAAACAAAACTCTTCCGTTATGGTGACTTAGGGGTTTAAAGACTTGTTATATATATTAAGTGCAATTGTGCTTCTTATAAAAGTAAGTTAGATTTTATTTTTTGTCTTTTTATTTTGTTCAAAAACTAACAAAACTTAAATTTGAGAGAATTTGATGAAAAGTGTTTTATATGCCTTAATTTATTATATTAGTTTTAATTTTATCACTATTTGTAAAAATTAGTATATTATATTAACCTTAACTTTTTTATTATTTGTAAGGATAATATGTGATTTTCAATAGATTTTACATAATTTTCTTTTTTTGTGCAAAAAAGACTTAAAAAGCATAATAATAGGAGTTTTTGAGATTAATTAAATATTTCTTGATAGTTGAGGGACTAATGTGAGAAGAAAGGTTCTTTTTTAGACCTAAATGAATGAATCTTAAATTATGGGATCAAAGTGTTCATTAGATAAAGATAAAGGACCAATTGTGTAATTATGCCATTGAAGAAATTACAAAAGAGGACTAAAACCCGACACGGATAAGGTGTTGATACAGATTTCGTGGTGTCAATACCATGGGGTGAGCCTTTGCTAAAACAGGTGCGCGTGGAATAACTATAGCTGTTAATACCTAGACGCTGGTGTTAACACCAAAAGCACGTCCAGGTCCAGCTTTAGTAACTAGATTTTTTTTTTTTTTTTGTCTATGAGTCTTATTTCTTTTTTAATATTTTTTTTTTACTTTATAAATCCCTGTTTAAAAAACCAGATTTAGAGCTTTTAAGGGAGACTAAAGGAAAGACGGTTAAGAGGAAATAAATATAAAAA